TCAGTCTGCCTGTTCTGTTCCCCACTGTGTCTCTGGTGAATCCTCTCATCCCCTGAACCTCTGGCCTGTACCCTGGTTCTTGTATGCATAAATAAATAAATAAACTAAGAAAAAAATCATTACTATTATTATTACCTTATTAAGCCTTCCTGAAAAAGATGAGCTTTACACGCATTTCATAGGAGAGGAAATTTAGCTTCAGGGATGTTAGTCACTTCTAAAGTCTCATGCACAATCTCTGTCACTTTTTCATATACAAGGTTAACAGAGAAGTTGGGGGACCTCTTGAGGCAGGTTAGGGGACACACAGGCCAGACGCTGGGTCCTTTTCTCCTTGCCACAGACCTGCCTGTGTTTTCCATCAGGGCCCCTGACAACACCTGCATGGTCTGCACTGTATTCCTCATGCCGCCACGGCGATAGGGAGAAACCCTCCTTTTCCTCCTTGAGAATTCCTGCAATTACCAACACTTCTATTACACCCACCCTGAACTCAGCTGTACACACAAGACAGCATGGAAGGGCACTTTGCTGGGTTGCTTCTGGGAAACTATTAATCCTGAGTACACTTGATCCATATTAGTAACGCAAAGGCAAATGGATGATGGATGAAAGAAGAGTTCAAAGCAACGAGGGGAGACTGGAGAGTGTGAGTGTAATGGGGGCCAGAGTCTGAGAGAGAGATGTCCAACAGGCATTTTGTTGGGGCACCTTTAGGTTTCATAGCTGTGGGGGAGTTTAGGTAGAAGGAAGAGTTGAGCTGAGATGCAGAGACATCTGTGCATGCCCAGGCACCCTAGAACTGGAGTGGCCCTTGGGAACCAAAGGACAAGTCTTCAAGTGTCACAAGACCAGCGGCTGTGTGCAGGCTGCCTCTGGGGAGAGGCCCGACTTTGGATGGGGGAATCACTCCAGCTGATCGCAATATCTGGCCTCTCAGTGGAGTGTCCTGAGCTGCCAAAAGTCTATCATCTGGGGGCCTGAGTGCCTCCATCCTGCAGTGGGGGCCTGGGACTCACACCATAGCTACTGCTACAGCGCATCACGTGGGCTGGGAGGAGTCGACTTGGCAATGTTGTAGAAACAACTGTAAATCTTGTTTTAAGAATAAAATGACAAATTTGCCATAGACAAATACACAGTCTGATTGGGGACCAGTAATGACTTCATTAATGATTGAGACTAATGAAGGAGGCCCCATGGTCCTGCCCAGCCTTCAAAGTTGCAAACTCAATTATTGGGTAAGAATGGAAAATAATGCAAAAAGAGCCAAAGAGGCATTGTCCATGGAACTTTTCAGCACAAAATAATTTTGACTATTTCAATCTGATCTGAGTTTTCTATTTCCAAGTTATAATAAATGCATGTGGGTGCACACACACACACACACACACACACGATTAACCCTGAATATCTCTTCCATAAAATCTAAATCAACTCCACTAACATTTCCCTAAGCTGTCTTTGAAAGGAGATGAATGAGTTTGACAGAAAACATTTTGCCTGAAATTTTCCCTTTCTCAGATGGCATAAATTGAAGAGGCAAGTCTGCCAAGTGTTTGGTGACACTCTGCATGGTGGCTTCTGGCAGGGACACTCTGTCCCAGCAGCTAAATGAAGGTCCTCCTGAATCACTGACTTACTGAGACACAGGGCAAGCTAGGAATTATGCAGTTTTAGGGACAGTGCAGGAGGGGACCTCTGAAGAATTTAGGGAGGCTTCAGAGATAAGGACAACCAAGGGAATGTAACCAATTCCACTGGGAAAAACAAACATCCTAGGATCACGGACAATGTTAACAATGGTCCCTGTTTTCTTCAGGTGATAAGATAAGTGTAGAGATGCTCACCTGGAGGACTAAACCATAAAGATAAAGCGATAAGCATAACAAATGGGGAAAGACAGACCTGTTAGATAAGGAATGTGAAGATCCCCCACTCAGTAGCAAATTAAGTGAGACAGCAGAAAACTAACCAATCACAAAGAGACTGGTGGAGCTTTAGAATAACTAGGGAAAGAAGGTATATATTCCCTGAGACACGACTCCACTTTGGCTTCCTTGCCCCTCCCAGGCCTGGTTCCCTGGCCTGGGAGTCCCACTTTATTTCTGCTCTTTTTCTCCTCAATAAACTTTTTCTTTCTGTAAACAAACCTGCCTCTTCTCGCTTGCTTGCCTGAGCGTCTGCGAAGTTCCTGCTGCGGCTTAGTGAGACACCAACCCGTGGGGGTCTAGTGGCTGGGACTCAGTGCTGCCCCTGCAGCCCGAGATCCCTTCCTGGCTGAGAGACTAGGCCTGACCATTCCGGTATCATTACCATTCTTTATCACCTGCACTATCCCCTCTATCCCGCTTTCTGCACTGAGAGCTTCTAAATAATTTGGGAAGGGACAGAGGGTAAAAAAAAAAAAAAAAAATTCTAGAACCATGAAGATGATGCACATTGATGTTGGTTGCTGAGAATTTATCTGGTAGATAAGAGGCAGTGCTGAAGGGGAACTGCTAAGAAGAAGAAATCTTTCCCTGTTAAAGAGTCATAGACCTGGAAATGTGAAGTAAATAATAAGTTTGCTTCCTTAATAAGCATATCTAAACAAGGTCTGGCAACCTGCTAGGCTGATTGATCTCCCAGGCCATCCTGGAAGAGCTGTATCCTTCCCCTTTTCCTGTGTCAAGAACTTGTATGCTAACTAACCAACTTTATCAATGTAAAATGGTTGTGTATAAAAGAAACTCTTTGTCTCTAGACCAGTGCTCAGACCTTATGGGACTACCCAGGTCTGAGACCTCATGCATGAGTAACAAAGCTTTCCTGACCTCACCATTCCTAAAGTACTGCTTGTTCTTCCCCTGCATGGGTAAAAGGCTAGAATTTATTTCTGCAACAGTGCGAACACTGGGCTTTTCAAATCTGTCTTTTCAAGCCCAATGTGGGCAGGAGGGGTCAAATTCCACACCAACAGTGTCTGGACATTTAGGACTGTGGTCCACTAGGGGAGGATGTCTCACAAGAATATGATTCCTCTGCTTAAAGTCCTTCTGGTTGGGCTTGACATGAATTCCAAGGACCTTCGCTGGGTGTGAGAAACTACAGAGCGCAGGCCCTGTCCACTTTCCATCTTCAGTTGGGGCCATGCTTGCCCTTATTCTCTAGGCTTCAGCCATTCTGGGGACACCCTTGAGGTCATTCCATCAAGAGGAGAACTTCCCGACTCCATGGCCTTCACTCCTGCTGCCTGGAATGCTTTTCTGGCACTTCCATGGACCCATGGTCTTCAGTTCTGCTTAAATGTCACCCCCTTCCCTGAAATGTGATCCTCCACATTTATTCTTATAGTGTGTTCTTGGTTTTCTTCACTCTACCCACCTTCCAGGAGCTGTGATGATCTATTTGTTTATTTCTTTGTTTATCGTCTCTTTCCAACTCTGGATTCTACTCCCTAAAATGGCAGGGACAACATCCACCTTGTTCCCAACTAATTACCCAGTGTCAGGCACCCACTGGTTCCTTGATAAATATTTGGAACCTGAATGAACTGTGCCTTGTCCAGGGCATAAGCCCTAGCCTGTGCTTTGTGTTTTATGAAATACTTATTTATAAATTTTAAATGAAGACTTTATAAATAAATGGAATATTTCAAAGAGATAAGATAGAAGAGATGTTTGTAGGATAAGGATGTTTCAAATCAATTACTGGCTCTTTTTTCCTCATAGCGGTTTAGTTTCAGATGGAGTATGATTTGTGTCCAGTATATTGCACCCATTTTAAATGGCTATTGCATATGTATAAATCCACAGAGCTCTAGATGGAGATGGAGACTGTTTACAGCACCCCAGAAGGCCCTCCAGGTGTCTCGGTCAGTACCCTCTAAGAGGAAAACCACTATTATAATTTCTATCAATTTGGGTCAGTTTTGACTCTTTATTAACTTTTCAAGTGGAGTCACATGTCATGTATTCTTTCATGGCTGTCTTTTTCTGCTTAAAAGTGTGATTTTCAGAACTATCCATTTTATTGTATGTTTTAGTAATGTATTTTTTTTTTTACTGCTTTGTAATATTCCTTTATATGAACGTACCAGAGTTTATTAAGTCTGCATGCGGGTTGTTTCCAGTTAATGGTTGCTGTGAGCAAGGCTTCTGGCAATGGTATTGTTCAAGTATCAGTGAGAGAATTCCTATCCACAGGGTGTATGTCCCGGAGTGGAATAGCTCCCAGGTGGGCATGTGTTTAGCTGTAGTAGCTACTACCAGTGCTCCAAAGGGATGGTAGGGGTTGATAACCTGCCTTGCTCCGTATCATCCCATATTACAGTTGTGTGGTGTGTTTTCAGAGGTTTTCATTTGCCTTTCTCTGAAAAATGTTAATTATTTTAAAATGTCTATGGCTCATAAGGTTATTTTGTATGTGTGTGTGTGACAATTCACAGAAAATGGATTGTCTTTTTCTTATTGATTTGTATGAACTTTTTTTTTTACAGATGAATTATTTAACAACTACATGTATTGAAAATATCTTTTAGGCTGAGGCTTTTTCTTTTCAGTCTCCTAATGGCATAATTTGAATTATATCATTCTTAATTTTACTGAAATACAATATATTGATCTTATTTCATGACAATATTTTTGGTACTCCGTGTAATAATTTTTCGGTCTATCTCAGGTATCACATTGTGTTTTAAACTAAAGAATAGTGTTGGGGAGATGTTACAAGAGGGCCCCGCGCACTTGGAATGAGTTCAGTATCGAGGTGGTTGAAGCTTGGCAGACAAAGCAGGGCAGGGCACTCTCCCAGTTCCCTCCAGGCCTTGCTCTAATTCCCAAGCTTCTGAAATGCCAGACTCTCCCTCTGCTCACTCCAGGAAGAGTCCCCACGGATTAATCCCATCCAAGGGTAACTTCTTAGAGGCTGTAGGCCAAAATTCACTCCTTCAGAACTCCCCCCACAAAAAATACCCGACTCAGGCAGACCACACAGAAATTACACCACATGGACAAAGCGTCATTCACCAGGTATATTTGAAGTCTAAGCTCTTTGAGCTATACACGTGCACAAATGATTCAATTGGTGGAAATCTCCCCCTTCCCCTCCACTTTTAAACTTTTCAAACTTAAAATAGTGCTAAAGAGGTTTGCATAATGTGCGTCATGGAAATGCTGAGGCGATTCTGACTTTCACAGTGCTAGGAGGCTCCCCTTCAGAAGAGCTTCCCACTTTTTACCCGTTTGCTGGGAAAAGCTCCGCTTCAGACCCTCCCCAGACCCAACCTAATGGAAGAATTACCTGATCTGAGACAGGCATTGCCACTTGGTCATACATTTCACTAAGACTAACCATTGAGGTCATTCACTGAGATTTCATTTTAGGATTACACACAATGGTCATTTCAACTCTAAATTTGGTTGGAAATAGCCGATGCCTCTGTTTTAAAACATTTAACAATCATTTCCAAACATTTTCTCTCACTCCCATTTCTTTAGAATCTGCATTTTGAAAATTCCGGATAGGTTAAAAAGCCAGATGAGTCGCAGAAGACTGAGAGAATTCAGCACAAAATGGCTGACGGCGGGCAGTTCATGCCTCTCAACAGCTGAAGAGAGTGTTTCTTCCACTAGAGGGCAGGGTTTCTCCACTGTGATGGTTAGTCTATCATTTCTCAAAATCCAAGATCCAGAAACCTCCACAGCAAAGGAAATTCAAAGCATTTGCTTATTATACACTCCTCAGATTTTATTTTTAAAAGGAGCCTTCGTGTTTTTTTAATGGAAACTCAGGATTTAACAAGCAATGCTGTCCTCAGTTTCGCCTGTACTGTATCCAGTACTATATTGCTATATTCACAGTAGAACGGACTTTAATTTCTGAGTGATCAGTCTATGTTTTAAGTTTCTGATGAAACTAACATACACCTTAATCAAAACCCACAACAATCCTTCCATCACTTGACTGTATTACTATTCTTGTGTGTTTTCTGAGGCTTGGGTAACAAAGGTATTTCCCCACTCCATCATAATTGGCATTTGCATCTAAAATAATTCATTAATGTACAGGAGTAGATGAGGCCTGGCACATACAGCAGAAGGTAATGGTTCTATAAGTGTATCTTTTGTAATGCACTTTGGGCTAGAGAAATAGAAAAATCACATGTAATGAAAACAAATCATTTTTTGAGCAATATAGGCATTGCATGAGTAGGCTCGGCATATATTTATATATCATCCTTTCATTTTAATATGTTCAGCACTGCTACATTCTGGAGATTTAACGTCACCAAATTGTCTACAACTGACACTTGTATCTTCACTTTATTTAAAAACAAGTGGTCTTGATAGCAAAGATGTTGGCTAATCATTTATCTATTGGCATGAGAAGTCTGCGCCCTTTCAAAATACAGCATTATCCATAAGAGTGTAGTATTATCAGATTATCTGTATTAGTATATGAATGCATTCATAAGCAATGCACATATTATGTTTTTAAGCAGCTAATGGCTGAACAATCACTAAATAAAAAACATCCAGATTTTAAAAGCACAGCTGAAACGTTTGTACAAATATACAAAGAGAAAAAACAATCGTTCAGACACCATGAAACTTTTGTAATAAATAGGTTTGTCTGAAATCGGTCTCTATCACCCTGGACAAGCCTCCCCAACGAGGCTGGGAAAATTCTATATGAAGGTGGTCAAAATCTACTGAGGAATATCTTTGGGGCGAAGCTCAGTTTTGCCTCCAGGAATTTCAACAGAGCTATGAAGTACTGACTCAAAATAGTGAATATACCCAGACTAGTTTAGCTGGATGATGCTGATCATTTTCCTAATCTAGACCGGACATGGCTGGATGCTGACAATTGGTGAGTTATAGTATATCCTCAAATCATGAAAATAAATGCTGGTGATCATGCATGTCCTGGGAATGTCGGGATGCAGAGGACTGAGTGAGACCAGATAGGGGTATCTCATGCAGTCAAAGTCAAGTTTACTTATGGTCCTACTTAAGTGGCCAGGAAAAACAAAGCACACACGTCAGGACTGGGACTGAAACAGCTCACAAACAACACAGGTGCTATTTGTTACTGATGTCTCTGGCTTGGATCAACATGAGAGAATGAAGATAGGCTGTGCTGATTGTTTAATAAGAAAATACTACTTTTTTCCTAGAACCTTCTAAATAATGGATTATATTTGATGGGTATGATATGATCAGGAAACATACCACTTTTTCCTAGCCCTTTTGTCCAAGAGGCTTGATTACAAGGAAGGAATCTCAAACAACCAAACACCCAGGGATTTAAAGGCAATTATTTGTTTTTCTGACAAACAACAGGGCGGGGCGGGGGAAGCATGATAAAGAAGAGACAGATATTATCGTTGAGGTGGAGCGGTGAGCTCAGTTGGACACGGAGGGTGGCAGGCCAGGACGTCGGGTCTGGATGATTTTTGGCTTTGGGGACGTCTTTGGATCCTCTTCTTCCTCTATGTCACTGTCACACACGTGTACCACAACACTTGGGGTGGACTCAGTCCCTGCATGGAGCTCATACTTCTCTCCTGAAAAACAAGAGCAATGGGGGATGAGAGAGGGAGAGGGTTTATGAATAGAATCTTTACTGAGGCTTGCTTGGGAAATGAGAACATTTTACAGAAGAACATTTCACAGTATCTCAGGAAACCTGGGATCCTTTCCAGGGACACTATGGGGCAGTGGAAAACGGGATGAGCTTGACCTCTCATTGTATCCCAGTTCGACCACCTTTTAACTGTACAGCACTGAACAGGCCACTTCACCTCTCTCAGCTTCAGCAACCTCAACTCTGAGCTTCAAAATGGTAATGCTTGCACTCCATAGGATTGTGGTGAGGACTGGCACTTTTCAGTTTCTCTTTATTTCCCAGCACTACCACTAATTGGTGAGTACGCTTCAACCAATTACTTCACTTCTTCATCTTTTGGATAAGGCAGTCTCTTTGTTCTCTTCCAGCTATGTAACTCTTATAGCAGGACATGCTCCAGAATGGAATAAAGGGGGGTCATTGCTTATCTGGGATTTGCAGTGGTTACTGGGCAACTGGTTAGATGACTGTCAAGGTCCCTCTGGTCCCAGGAATCTGTCATTCTTGATCAGTTCATCATACTGTCAAATTATTACTAGCCAAAGAACTGCCTGTCTGTTTCACTTCAGGAAGAATTTATTGAGCATCTCTCACAGACTGGCCCATTGCTAGTCATACAGGCTACACAGCACAATTAAAAAAAAAAAAAACATATCTGTGCTTTTCACAAGAGCACAGCCAATGGCAACATGTGGAAAAGGAAGTGTCACAATACACCATGTAAGCGGCATATATGTCAAGGTGTCATACGTTAATGTATTTCAAGGACTATGGTACCATACTGTGATAGCAATTAACTATGAAAGCTTCTCAGTGGAGGTGACAGTTGACCTGAGTCTAAAAGACAGTGGAAGACCTCCAAGAGATAGGCAGGAGGAGGCCCATTCTCTATCTGCATGCTTGTAATTTCTCAACTATTGACATACTTATCTTAATCTTCACCCAACATCCCCCATCCCTTACTTTCCATCCCTCATGAATCAACAGAAAATCTAAACACAATGTTTCCTAGACAATGGCTCTCCAGGTCTCATTGGATCAAGTCCTTAGAGGAACATAGAAATCCCTGTGTAATTGCTCACTGATCTTCACATTACCACCACTAACTCCTTATCTGCTTTGGTCAAATTTTGGTTTACTTGTTGGACCCCAAGCATGAGAGTTACATTTTTATACTCACAAAACCAGCTGTGATTATTTGGCACAGTCTCGCCTTGTTCTAAGAGTTCCCTAAAACCTGTCCTCTTTTAGGATCAAAGCCAGACACTACTCAGCCCAGGAATCCTGCCTATCATCCTCAGTCTGGAGAAGAATGTGCCCCTTCTGGGTGATTACAAGTGTTGTCAGTCCTAATGCTGCAGTACTATTTGTGAACTACTGTTCACAGCTGGTAAGTAACATAGGTTAAAAAAAAAAAAAAAACTCTTGCAAGGTACAGTTTTAATTTCTGGGTACTGATGTTGGTAATGAGGAGCATAGATGATGCAGTAGGTACCAATGCTCTTCTAAGTGATGCTGGGAAGGGGGTAAACATTCAGGGTCATCCAGTGTTACAGGATGAATGGTCTTCCCCAAAGGATGTTGAGGTCTTTGTATCCTATATTGGTGAAAGTGACCTCACTTAAAAAAGTAGGATCTTTGCAAATGATTAAGTTAAAATGAGTTATTAGGGTGGAGCCTACTTCAAAATGGCCAGCATCTTTACAAAAAGGGGAAATTAGCACACTGGCACTCTCACACCATATGGCACTCTCAAGCCATATAAAGATTGGAGTTACTCTTTCCTAGACAAGGAATCTAGGAAAGAGACCTGGAATAGATCCTTTTCCAGTACCCTCAGAGAGAGGAAGGCTTTAAACCTGTAGAATTTGAGTATATTTCAGAACAGCCAATACATTTTTTGGTTGATCGCAGAGTCTGTAGTGTTTTTTATACAAATACAAACTATCAGACTAATACAGGCATAGCACCCCAAGAAGGTTCTCTTCCTGGTTAGAGTCAGAGAAGCCCTTATCAGGCACTCTCAATATCCTGGTGTGGAGAGCACAGTCTTTCCTGCATGGCAGCAGTGAATACTTCACAGAATAGTCAGCATTTCCCTGATATTGGTAGTGAAGAGGGATGGAGCTGGCCAGACTCAAAGAATTATGGTTCATGAAGATGATAATTTCAAGGCTAGATTTGGTGAAATTATAAGGAGGATTGTGTCAACAGATATGAAATCTCTGACATAAGCTGATGTGAAGCAGTTGATTCAGGAGATGCCAGTGACAAAGAAAGGTGACATGGAGCAGAATCAGGAAGGAGACATGTGCTGAGTGACACTATGGTCTGCTTGCACACACACACACACACACACACCCATCCCCAGGGCAGAAACTGATAGAGCTAACCGATCATGCCACAATCCATTCCCAAATTACTACATATATATTCTGGTAGTTGTAGACACTGATGTTCATTTAGCTGTGAGTCCTATTCTCCTGAAAGGATTTTAATCAAAGTCTCAAGGTAGCAGAGCCACTTCAGATATAGCCACGGAGAGGAGTCTGCATCAAACCAGTTTAATATGAGTGTCACATGTAAGTCAGGCTGGCAGGCCCTGTAGATAGTATCTTGGGGCAGTGGTTCTTGAACACCTTACAGTTCACTGGGTGCTTGTTAAAAACAGCATTTACCACTATTAGGGTGCAGTAATATGTGCCTTGGCACCTAGCACTGTCAGATGCTTTTTTGGTGTTTCAGGTCTGTGGCCACTGTGGGCTTTGCGTGCCAGGCAGGAGGCTGTGGCCTATGTGGGGACATCCGCTCACGTAGAAGGTGCCCTCCCTTCCTCCAGTTTGCATGATAACTTTTTCACAGGAAATGGGGAGAGTACAGGTAGAGGAGCATGCAGGGAGGGATGCTGGCCAAGTGCAGAGGAGAAACCCAGATCAGCTCTGTGGCCACTCCCAGCCCGCAGCAACTGCTGAGCTTCGGCTGAGTTCTCATCCTTGCTGCTGGGTGAAAAGCAAGTCCCTTAAAATTTCACAGCAAACAAGACTGACTTCATTGTATCCAGGGCTTTGAAAATCTCTTTCCCCCGAGAATGCTTTGTAATTCTGCATGAGACACACCCTCAAACAAGAGACTGAGAAAGCAACCAATGCGGTGGCTCTGGTTATGTAGGTAGGATTTCTTTCAAGTTCGCACACTAGGAGAAGCAGCACCTTTTGAAGAAACAACAATGGCCAGAGCCTCCCTGGTGGTGCAAGGGGTTAAGACACAGCACTATGAAGCTATCTGCAGCTACTGGAGCACGAGTTCGATCCCCGGCCAGGGAGGTGACCCACATGGCGCAGCAGACCTCTCCTGACTCGCCCACTGCTCCCCTCAGCAGTGTAGTTCAGTCAGTCTGCCTGTTCTGCTCCCCACTCTGTCTCTGGTAAATCCTCTCACCCCACCCCCAAACCTCTGGTTTGTACCCAGTTCTCATATGTATAAATAAATAAACCTTAAAAAAAAAAAAAAAAGAAACAGCAATGGCCTGTTCATGGCTCTGCTGGTTGTGATGCTGGGATGAGACGGCCAGCAGGCTCTCTGATGCCAGATACCAGGTAGCATCTGCCGTGGGAGGGTGACCAGAAGATTGTGGGATCTGGGTGCAGTGGTGGTGATTTGATGGCAGGAGACTCAGGGGGCTGATCAGATGTCTTGTTCCTTCCTTCATCTGCTGGCAAGAAGCTTTTTATTTTACTTCATTTTATTTTAAATTTATTCATTAATTTTCTTATATCTTTGTTTATTTTTGGACAGTATCTGATTTCTCCCCTCAGGTGTGGAATCTGTAGCTGCCTCACCATGACAGCACCCTGATCCATCACCACAATCCCTATGTTCTTCTCTCCCCTGTTTTGACCCCTTTTTCTCCCCTAGTGCACTGGCAAGAAGCTTCTTAAAAAATTGCAAAGGGCCTCCCTGGTGGTGCAAGGGGTTAGGCACAGCACAGTGAAGCACAGCACAGTGAAGCTATCCTCAGCAGCTGCTCCCCTCAGCGGTATATTTCAGTAGATCTGCCTGTTCCACTCCCCACTCTGTCTCTGGTGAATCCTCTCACCCTCTGCAACTCTGGCCTGTAGCCCAGTTCTTGTATGCATAAATAAATAAATCTTTTTTAAAAATTGCAAAATACACACACACAGACACACACACGCACACTTAAACTGTTTGCTTGCCCTGGTTTGTAGAAAAACATTCCCCTGAAGTCTTCTCTAGTTGCATTGTGGTAACCCATTCCAAAGCGGATGCTTTTCTCTCATACTGGGTGTGGGGGGCACATTAAGGATGTGGGGGGGAAGGTGCTCCTTGCAGGGCAACATTCATGTGGCGTTAATAAAGCCAGATTGGTTGGTAGTAGAGCTATTTTATTACTGTGATCCCATTAACTCTGACATTTCACTGTTCTATTTCTGGAAATGTTCTTACTATCAAAAACCAGTAAAGCTTAACAGCTGCTGAGAGTCCACAAAATAAAAAGAAATAACTTTTGTCTTGCTGGATGGAATTCTTTTTTGGGCCTCTCTTTCCCTTAGGGCTTCAGCTAATTCCTCCACCACAAGGGGTGACGTCAATGCTGTCACCCAGCACGGGGCCCCACTGAGCTCGGTCGACAAGGTGCCCCAGGGGCTTGTCCACCTGGTATGGAACAGGTCCTGTCACAGTGCAGGGACAATGGCCAGGTGACCAGCATTTCTGTGAAAGGACAAGCAGAGTTCACCCACCACATGCTCATTCTCTAGTCTGTTTTCAAACCGTCCTCTATACTGTGAGCAGAAAGGAGCCTAGAACCGAAAGCTTTCAGAAAATGCATGGATATGGGTTTTCCATCTCCCCCCATGAAACAGATTCCCAGTCAAACAAGTGCAACATCCTCTAGGACATGGTCAAAAGTTAAATCTG